TGATGCCCTGATGATGTTCTGTTATCATATAAATATAACATGGTATTAAAATCGTGTACCACATACACACACACACACACGCAAATACTCACATACACATTAGCATTACCAATGCATGCGTATTTATTCATGTGAATACATTTAGATTGCCTGTAAATGCCTATAAATACCAAATGATACAAATATTGGATTTGTGTGAATGGGGAAAAAATCAGCTTTTTTCTGTCACTCCCCCTCGCCCACCTCTCGCCCACGCTGTTTTGTGTGTGGCGAAATAAAAGGTAACTGCTTATGAAAAATTGATCCCCATAGATTTTATATTGTGTGTTCTCATCACACACACACACGCACACACACCCATAAACATATTTGGTTTATGCCACAAAACGGAAACGGATGTATGGATTTATTGCCTGCATTTGTATGTGCAAATGGAGGTGTGTAAAGGTGAATATTTATTTGAAATTACATGTTAAACTTTGCCATTGCATTTCATACAGAGAATCGAAACCAACTTTCAATTGCCTATAAAATCTAGTGGTTAAATTAATCCATTACCGCTCAGGGTCAATGCGTTTTGGTGTTTGAAGAGATTATTGCATGTTTTTTTTTTAAATCCCTTGCTGATCATCATTTTTATTTGCGGTATTTATTTCAAATTATTATTGAAAAGATGGATTAAGAGTCAAGTGATTTTTTGCTCTTTTTATTTTATCACCTTGTGTGTCAGCTCAGCATTAAATGTTAGTCTCTGGGTGATGACAAAAGCGTGTGTTTTTTTGTAGCTTTGATTGAAGTGGGTTTATTAGCAGCCAAGTGTTAAAAGCCATTTTGGGGTTTTTTTGTGTCAATAAATAAATTTAGATTTTTTATAGAGTTTAAGATATTTTTTTCAGGGGAAAATAATTAGCAGTTGGGTGTGAATTTTTTATTATTTTAATTTTTTTTTTTTTAATATTTTACTTTTTTTTTCAAATTTTTATTTTTTTATTATTTTCTAAATATTCATCTTATACAACTATTTTGAAATTATTCGAAGCCGGCTTAAACCGCTTTTAACTACACATTTCTTAACAATTTTTTAATCTAAATCCACATAAGTTTTAAATCACAAAAAATCACACGTTTTTCCTTCTTTTTAAATGCAGGGCAATTTCCGGCCCAAGGCTTCATTTTTTGGGAATACTGTCAAGGGAGAAAATATTTTCCATCAAATTTCATTACAAATCGGGGAACAAAAGAAAACTCAAAATCACACACACACCCTTAAAAAATCAAATGCAACTTGCTTGTATATATAAAAAAGATATTTCCAGGAGGTTTCGAAAAGACGCCAAAATCTCCAAAAATGCTTAATTTTAGAGACTTGGTGTTAATGGCGAAAATGTTCTCCACCAAATTTCACTATATGTTCAGGAAGATAAGATAACTGTAAATCAAGTACACATCCTTCAAAATTCCAATGCAATTTTGTCATATTAACAAAATGATTATTTTCCATGACATTTCGGGAAGTTGTCAAAATCTCCCAGAAAACTTAATTCTAGGAAGTTGTTGTTAATGAAGAAAATGTTTCCCATCAGATTTCACTATGACTTGATCAACAAAAGATAACTGTAAATCATGCCTACATCCTTGAAATATCGAGTGCAAAGTGGTCATATAAACAAAGTCTTGTTTTTTCATCACATTTCGAGAAAATGTCAAAATCTCCCGCAAAGCTTAATTTTAGGTGTTTGATGTTAATGGAGAAAATGTTCCCCATCAAATTTTACAATGGGTCGGAGAACAAAAGATAACTGTAAATCAAGCACAAAACCTTGAAATATCCAGTGCAATTTTGCCATATTAATAAAATTATATTTTTCCATGACATTTCGAAAATATGTCAAAATCTCCTAGAAAACTTAATTCTAGGGAGATGATGTTAATGGAAAAATTGTTCCCCATCAAAATTCAGTATAGGTTGGGGAATAAAAGAAAACTGTTAATCCAACGTACATCCTGGAAATATAGAGTACAAAGTGGTCATATAAACAAAGTTGTGTTTTTTCATCATATTTTGAGAATCTGTCAAAATCTCTTACAAAACGTAAATTTAGGGAGATCATGTTAATGAAACAAATGTTCCCCATTATATTTCACTATAGGTTGGGGAACAAAAGATAACTGTAAATCAAACATACATCTTAGAAATATAGAGTACAAATTGGTCATATAAACAAAATTATGTTTTTTCCTGCTATTTCGAGAAAATGTCAAAATCTCCCAGAAAACATGATTCTAGAGAATTGATGTTAATGGGGAAAATGATCCCCATCATATTTCACTATAGGTCGCTGAACAAAAAATAACTGTAAATTTAACCTACATCCTTTAAATATCGAGTACAAAGTGGTTATATAAACGAAGTTTTGTTTTTTTCGTGATATTTCGAGAAAATGCCATAATCTCCCGCAAAACCTAATTTTAGGTATTTGATGTTAATGGAAAAAGTGTTCCCCATCAGATTTCAATATAGGCCGGTGAACAATTGATAACTGTAAATCCTACGTATATCCTTTAAATATCAAGTACAAAGTGGCCATATCAACAAAGTTATGCTTTTTCATCATATTTTGAGAATCTGTCAAAATCTCGTACAAAACTTAATTTAAGGTAGTTGATGTAAATGGAGAAAATATTCCCCATCAGATTTCACTATTGGCCGGTGAACAAAAGATAACTGTAAATCCAGCCTACATCCTTGAAATATCGGATGAAAAGAGGCCATATAAAGAAAGTTATGTTTTTTCATGATATTTCAAGAAAATATCAAAGTCTCCCACAAAACCTAGTTTTAGGTAGGTTTTGTTAAAGGAAAAAGTGTTCCCCATCAGATTTCACTATGGGCCGGTGAACAATAGATAACTGTAAATCCTACCTATATCCTTTAAATATCAAGTACAAAGTGGTCATATTAACAAGATTGTGTTTTCCCATGAAATTTCGAAAAAATGTCAAAATCTCCCACAAAGTTTAATTTTTGGTGTTTGATGTTAATGGAGAAAATATTCTCCATCAAATTTTACAATAGGTTGGGGAACAACAGATAACTGTAAATTCAACCTACATCCTTGAAATATCAAGTACAAAGTGACCATATAAATAAAGTTATGTTTTTTCATCATATTTTGAGAATCTGTCAAAATCTCCCACCAAACCTTGTTTTAGGTAGTTGATGTCCATAGAGAAAATGTTCCCCATCAGATTTCACTATGGCTTGATTAACAAAAGTTAACTGTAAATCCAACCTACATCCTTGAGATATCAAGTACAAAGTGGCCACATAAACAAAATTATGTTTTTTCATGGCATTTCGAAGAAATGTAAAAATCTCCCACAAAACTTAATTCTAGTGAATTGATGTTAATGGAGAAAATGCTCCCCATCAAATTTCACTAAGGGTCCCTGAACACAGAAAACCTGTAGATAAAATATACGTTAACAGAATAGCGTTAAGAATTTCGAAAAATAAATAAAGTTTAATGTTACACTGAAAATTCTCAATTATTTCGGTTCTGAAGCATTTGCTAGACTTAAATTTCATATTAGGTAATTAATCGAAACCCGCGTCGCAGTCCACAGGCCGCAAAAATGGCTCGTGAGCTGAACATATCGTAATATTCCATTCGGCAAATATTGAAAAATGAGCTCGGGGTAAAGCCATTGAAATCCAAAAGGTGCAAGAACTTATACCGCAACAGAAAGAAAATAGAGACAAAAAAGCTAAAGAGTTGCTTCGCTTGGCCGAAAGTGCCGAAACTGCCGAATTTGATTTTCTCCGATGAGAAATCATTCTTTGTGTTTACTTGCCAAAGAGGTCAGCTGAAAATGTGTACCTTCGGTTGGCCACCAGAACTCAAGCGCCGGCCATGGTGATGGTGTGGGCCGCCATAACAGCCGATGGTCGCTCTTCGCTCGTATTAATCGGAATAAATTCCGAATATTATCGCGAAAATATTCTGGAGGGTGTATTAAAGTCTTGGGCACGCAAACATTTTGGCCGCAGACCTTGGATATTCCAACAGGACTCAGCACCATCGCAGCACTCAGCACGCGCCACCCAAGAATGGTTACAAAATGAGGTTTCTCGCTTCATTTCCAGCGCCACAATTGCCACGCCAAATGTCCGGATACCAATCCAGTGGACTATTGTGCCTGGAGTATTTTGGAAAGCAAGGTTGGCACTAAGAAATACCAAAGTGCCAAAATGCCACAGAGCAACATTCGGGTAGCGTGTGACGGTTTCATTGGCCGTTTGAAGGCCATAATTCGTGCCAAAGGTGACCAATTCGAACAAATCTAAACTTATTCTAAAATTTGATGCTATTTCCAACATTTTTGCTTTCATTCAATAAAATTTAAAAAAAAAATGTAAAAATTATGCCGTTTGACTTAGTTGCAGTTTTTTTTTTATCTCACCCTGTATGTTATTATAAAATAATGTTAAAAAAATAAAATTCATGTTAGAGGAGGAAAATGTATTGCAAGTTTCGGAGATCTTGAGTTTTTCAATTTTAATCTCCGCAAAAAAAAAAAACAAAACTCAAAAAAAAAAAAAAAGAAAATAAAATAAATAAAAAATATTTTATTTATTTTTATTTAATAAAAAAAAAATAATTTAATGTATATTAAATATTTTTTTATAAATGATTTTCGAAATTTAAAAATGCTTAAGAAGAAGTAAAAAAAATATTTTACAGCGAAAAAGTTATTATTTTTTAAAAAGACTTGATTTGCTATTAATTAATTAATAATATTATATTATAATATAAATATTAATTTATAAAATTAATTTTTATATAAATATAAAAATTATATTAAAATTATTAAAAATATAAAAATTAATATAAATATTAATTTAAGATTTTTTTAACATTTATGTAATTCATATATAAAAATTATTACATGAATTTAATTTATTATATTAATATGATTTTTCCCCTTATTTATTTCAGCTTGGGACATTGGCAACTCAGTGCAAGACGCATTTGTTATAGCAGTTGAGGAGCATGCAAGAGAGCGTTTACAACGTTTAGCGGCCTTAAATCGTGTTACCCCAGTGGATATAACCCAGCTATCGAAAAAGGTAATTTTGTTAAAATTTATATATTTTATTATTATACATTTATTTAAAGTTTATATATTTTATTATAATAAATTTATTTAAAATTTATATATTTATTTATTATATATTTTTCGAAATATTTTTTTAGCAAATTTGTCTCAATATCAATTATCAGTGGATTTTTTATCACTTTTTCATCCTTAAAAAAAATTGTTTTTTTTTTTTTTTGATTCCAATCGACTTCATTACATGTCTATCCAACACACACCTAATTATTTTTTTTTTGTGATTTTGAGTGAGAACATGTTCCCACTAAATAATCGTGTATAGACATGGCAAACATTTCCATTTCCAAACATTACAAATTTTCCAAAACACTTCCGCCACTAATCGATGTTAATTAACTTTCGATTATCTCTCTCGAACCGGCGGTGCTCAATTGGGACCCATCTTTATACAAAAAAAAAAACAACAACTACAAATTATCTAAAAACAGGCGACCACACCGAGGTGTTCATTGTTTTACATGGTTTTGAAAATATTGTTTGTTGTTGTTTTTTTTTTGTAATTAATTTCAAATACACGCCCAATAGATGCAGGCGTTAGAGTGCCAGATAAATAGGTGTGTGTCTGTTTGTCAAATTTAATTGAATTAAAAACATCAGCATGTTTCGTGGTGGGCATCATGATGGGGTAATGATGACGATTTGAGTAACGTGTTCGAAAAATGAAAGTGTTATCAAGGTTCATGGATAGACGGATGGGGAGATTACACAGGTCGATCATAGACGAAATATGAATGTATACAAAATTTGGGAATAATTTAAATTTTTTGAGTTTGAAAAAAAAAAATCAAAACTGTTTTGTTTTTAATTTGAAATAAAAAAAACACAAATTATGAAAGAGGAAATACAATTAGGAGACATGTGTGTGAGTATTTTGAAGGTATGCAGAATTTGAATATTTGAAAATTTTTGGGTTAAAAAAATAAAACATAATTAGCTTGAAGGGGTGCCGATTTCACCAAGAATTTTACATTTTAGGATCATAGGTCTAATGAAAAAAATATTCTGCATCGAATTTTACTGGGGGTCACCGAAGAAGAAAATTCGGTAGTTACAACATTTCCCAACATATAAGCGTTTACACCTTCAATGAAATAAGGTAAAGGCATATTTTGAAGAAATATCATAACATTCTGAAGGGACGCCGATTTCTCCAAGAATTTTACATTTCAGGGTCTTGGTGTCAATGAAAAAAGTATTTTTAATCGAATTTTACTAGGGGTCGCCAAATATGAAAAATCGGTAGATATAACATTTATCAAAATATCAGCGTTTAAACTTTTGAATAAATTATGGTAAAACGATTTATGGTTAAACAATATAAGTTGTTTGAAAGGGGTGCCGATTTCTACAAGAATTTTACATTTTAGGGTCTTAGTGGCAATGAAAAAAATATCCCTCATCGAATTATACTTGGGGCCGCGGAAGAAAAAAATCGGTATATATAACATTTCCCAACATATTAGCGTTTACACCTTCAATGAAATAAGGTAAAGGCATATTTTTATGAAACACGATATATTTCTGAAGGGGTGCCGATTTCCCCAACAATTTCACAGGTTAGGGTCTTAGTGTCAATGGAAAAAGTATTTTTAATCGAATTTCACTAGGGGTCGCCAAACAAGAAATATCTGTATAGATAGCATTTATCCAAATATAAGCATTTACACTTTGGGTAAATTGTGATAAAACGATTTTGGTTAAATAACATAAGTTGTTTGAAGGGGTGGCGATTTCTCCAAGAACTATGCATTTTAGGGTCACAGTCCCAATAAAACAAATATTCTGCATCGAATTTTACTAGGGGTCACTGAAGAAGAAAAGTCGGTAGGTATAACATTTCCCAACATATTAGCGTTTATACCTTCAATGAAATAATGTAAAAGAATATTCTGATGGAATACCATAACTTTCTGAAGGGGCTCCGATTTTTTCAAGAATTTTACATTTTAGCGTCTTAGTGCCAATGAAAAAAATATTCTGCATCGAATTTTACTAGGGGTCACCGAAGAAGAAAATTCTGTATATATAACATTTACCAATATAACAGCGTTTACACGTTCAATGAAATAAGGTAAAAGCATATTTTGACGAAATGCCACAACTTTTTGAAGGGCTACCGATTTCTCCAAGAATTTTACCTTCTAGGGTCTTGGTGTCAATGGAAAATGTATTTTAAATCGAATTTCAGTAGGGGTCATCAAACAAGAAAAATCTGTAGAGATAACATTTATCAACATATTAGCGTTTACACTATGGATTAATTATGTTACAACCATTTATGATTAAATGGCATACGTTTTTTGAAAAGGTACTGATTTTTCCAAGAATTTTACGTTTTATCGTCTCAGTGCCAATGAAGAAAGTATTCTGCATCGAATTTCACTATGGGTCACCAACCAAGAAAAATCTGTAAAGATAACATTTATTAACATATTAGCGTTTACACTTTGGATAAATTATGCTAAAACGATTTATGTTTAAATAACATGAGTTGTTTGAAAGAGGTGCCGATTTCTACAAGAATTTCACATTTTAGGGTCATGGTGTCAATGAAAGAAATATTTAATATCGAATTCCACTGGGGGTCGCCAAACAAGAAAAATCTGTAGGTATAACCGATATCAACATCATAGCGTTTACACTTTAAATTCTGAGAGGCAAAGACGAGGCATGATAAAAATTTCTACAAATTTCTACTTAAGTTTTCATTTGACATTAATGAACGAAATATTCTACATCAAATTTCATTAGGGGTCACTGAAGAAAGAAAATATCCATGTCTAATATTTATTGGTGAAATAATGGTTACATTCTTGTAAAAATGTATTGATGCTTCTCAAATAATCACCAAGAGTCCAAAATAGACGAATTTCTAATTACTGCCTTAATATAGTCTGTGAGCTATATTTTCTCGTTTTTTTCATTTTTTTTAATATAAAATGTACCAATTTTGATAGTTCCGACCACAACCTTAAAAATTATGTACCATATAAAAATATTACCAATTGAGGGACCTTCAAAAAATATATTTTTTTTCTAAATTAATTCATATATTCCCAACCACTCTCCTAATCAAAAATGTGTCCCCTCCAACTCTTCCATTTTATAGCCTAACTTTAACTGCCTTTATTATGTCCTTATGCCAGTAAAAAAATCACCAATTTATGCTGCTTTGTAATCTCAATGGAGAAAGACATGAAAAACATTTCTCTCTTCTCTCATGTTATCCATGTGGCCAGAGCTACGCAATCCTTGCATAATTTCCTTGTAAATCGTTTCTAATTTAAAATTCTGCAAATCGTAAAATAACAAACTGTGGTTGGTTACTTCCATGCCGCTGCGACATCGCACCACCCCCCCCCCCCCCCTCCCTCTTGGCCTATGGGCTTTTCATTTTTACAGCTTCACTGATTTTATTTGTATTTCTGCAGATATTCATAATCCATATGCAAATCTTCTTGGAGATACTTTTTTTTTCTCTCATATCAAAAAAAAAAAAAAAATCTAGAAGATAAAAGGAGGCATTAACATAGAAAAAGAGCAAAGCGATGAAGAAATGAAAAAAAAAACATGGGAAAGAAGACATAAAAAAATATGCATTATTAAATCATGTAAATTCGTTTGGCAGGAGTAGCCAGACATCAACAACAACCCACACACACATACAGACATGCATATACTCATACATATACATCTCTTGAAATTAAAGAAGGCCAACAAAATTTACTCGTCTTCCAATGAAGCCAGATCTCACTGTACTGGCATGTTCAAAAATTACATCTAATTGTCTCCAAAACCCCTCCTTAAAATTATGTGTAAGCGCAAAGGCGAATAGAAAAACAAGTAAGCAAAGGCTACAGTCGAGCGGGGCCGACCGTTGAATACCCTACAACACTATAATAAACGATACAGTTTATATAGGCGAGAAACTCGAAAGAATTCCACAAGATATTGTGACAAATAATAAAAGAAAACCATCAGGTTTCGTTCTCTAATTTTCGAATAATAGCAACTTAAGCTAATTTGCTCATTTCCAATTTATTGGTAGATGTTGCACCTAGATCTGGAACCAATATTTCCAAAGACCTATAATCTCTCAGAAGTGGCAAAAGATTAACATTTATTATTGGTTTTTGACTGAAACGTATCTATGTGAGATACAGACATTTGACTATATTCTTCAACGAAATCAGCGTTACGAAGTATTTGTGAATTCTCCAAGAAGTCACTGTAAAGGACATTTTCGTATTTTGTCTACAAAAGTTGGCAAACTATTTCACACATTGAATATTTTTGGATGGCCATCCAAAACTGCTTGGCTTTTGCAATGTCCCGTAACCCCCATTCAAATGTGCCTGAGGATCGGGCGATAATTACAACCTGCTGACAATTTTACAGTTTTTTTGGTCCATTTCAACCCCTAAATATATGGCGATCATCTCCAAAAAGAGTAGGCTTCTATTCTGACCCTCATCTTATCCCCATGCAAAATTTCGTAAGGATCGGGCCATAAATGCGATCTGTATATGATATCCTGATATCCCAACTACTTAGTTTTGTTAGCTGTAGAAATATTACCAAATATTTAATTCAAAATGAAAATATGCCAAAAATATGACAAAATTGAAAAAATATGAGAAAATTTTACAAAATCAATATTTTCATCTGTAGAGAGATATTTTTATGCGATTTTTTTAGACGTATTTTCTTTCTTGCCAAGAGGGCATTCTGAATTAATGAGAACTGTCGAAATCAGTTCAGCCGTTCTCGACATATAAGAGATCTTTCAAGCATATCTTCTTTGATAGACATATATATCGCACATATTTTGCTATATATCCGATTTGTTGGATGTTAACATCAATGTAAAGATCAGAAGTAACCCTGTCATGGCTTTGTGATTTCGCCGGGATTTAAAATATTCGCGGTTTAATGAAAAATTTTTAATTTTTT